AGAGAGAGAGAGAGAGTCCAAGTCTGCCAGGCCAAGTCTTCGCTTTTCGACCGCCTCCCAGTTTCTGCGCTCCTCGCGATTTGCGACTCCTTGAAATCGCATAATTATCTCTCGTTAATCTCTCGCGCTCTTTGTTCCCGGCTCCTCTTCTTCTTCTTCTTATGGATATGTCATGGCCGTTGGACCATCTGTCATTTCGCGGATTAAATAAAAGTGTTCGCGGCTTTCCCACGAACGAGCTGTACAAGATTCTAAGATATTTAAAAATTCAATTATTTTGATATTCTTTCCTTAATTTCAGAACTGATGGCTTTTAAACACGGCGAGGCAACTAATAAATCTAAGTCTCTTTGAAACAACGACCGAAAGACCAAGTGGAATCGAGAACCGAGCGTCAATTCCACGAACTACGTATCCGCTTGCTTATGTACACACGTACGTACATGTGTAAAACACGCGTACGTTCGTGCGCGTGTGTGCGGCCCACATATCCTAATATGTCGAGTTACGGTTACGTGTCGTGGAACGTAAAACCACGGCGGGGGCAAGTTTCTCTACTTCCATTCAATCACACGTAATTGAGGCGGCAAGGCCTTTTGTCGAGGTCCGCGTATTCGTCAAAAACGTTTGACCCGTTTCCTCGCCCCGACGCACTTAAAGGGTTATTTGCGCGCCCCGAAGAAGAAATTCATATCGCGTGACTCCGCGCGCAGAGGTCCGATTTTTTTCTTTCGCCGAACGGAACACCCGAGATCGACCGGTTTCTTCGCTCGGTAAAACTCCGATGTCGCCTCCGTGCGAGGCGGAGGAGAATCGAGTGGAGAACGTCGCGCCGTGATAAAGTCGAAGACGAGCCGACGCATATTCGACGACTCGTCCGTCCGGATTGCTTCGTTATGTTAATTATTCCGTGCCTGCGTTGTAACAGATGCGTGATGATTCTAATGACGATGTCTCATTTAAACGTAAGCATTTGACGACGTTTCTTCTAAAGCAGCTGCGTGGAAAGTGGTATGGAGTGATTACGACTTCTCTTATAACGATTCCTCGGAATTTATTTAACTTCTTCGCTCGCCAGTGAGAAATACGTCTTTCATATTTGCTACGACATACATTACCGCGATGCGCGCATTGCATTGATTAGATTAGATTATCGGTTGCATTAACTGAAATGTAATTATTAATTAGTAAATTAATGATCAAAATAATGGTTAAAATTACAGTTGTAATTGTACACGTATCTGTAGTTAGAAAATAAATAGATATGTTTAGATAATTAAATTCCTTGAATAAACTGTTTCTTCTTTTGTGATAAAAAAATCTGTATATTAAATATATTTGATTGGAAGAAAAAAATACCGTTTTTTTTTTTTTAAGGAAATCAACGTGACCATTAGATTGGTGAGAAATACTTTCCTGTAGTTCGTAAAAAACCGAACATCACGAAGTTCCATATATCGATCATCGGCGACCTTTTTCAAAAGCTATCGCGTTCTGAGAAGTCCAGTTCGTAAAATATTAATCCGGCCAAGAATAATGTTCTTATCTTCGCTTGTAAAAGAATCGCAAATAGTCAATTTATCTACGAAGCATTGATTGAAAATACGATTGCCCAGTTCGTTCCAAGTTTTTAATTTTTATTAATTTTATTTATTACGTTATGTATTACATTTTATTTATCATTTATCTATAATTGATAATATTTTCTATCTTAATTCTACTAAGAATTAAGACAAGCTACAATTAGCTACAATTTCTCATTTTACACTGAAATCTCGTAATTTAAACTTAATCTAAATCTTATGTACTCTTCGGTATATAAAAAAATTATATTTAAGTTTTAGAACACAACGCAATCAAACAACTCATTATTGGCGAGGCAGAAATAAATGAATCCAAATAATCAACGGGCAGTCTATTCTCGTGAATTGAGTAAACTATTAATATCAATAGGTTGATTACAGTTATCAGTTGGAAAAACGACTGTGCGGTTAGATTCCTAGAAATAGATAGTCACATCAAAGCTCTAAAACGGAGGGAAGGAACGAGAAAGAGCGGAGGGAAAGGTCCCTAAGATGAGACCAATTACCGCCAGCGATGCGTTGTTTAGGGGTGCCGCGATCGGACGTTCGGTCGATACTAGTCGCACGTGGAAATCGAAGCTTCTTTATGAGCTCGGGCCCGGATCACCAATAAATGCTCGAGTCGAATGTTTGTCGACCTCGTAAAATCGGCATTGTACACGAGGTAAGCGCGTACAACCCCGCGAGCTACTTGCCAATGGACTGAACATCGGGGAAGCCGCGGGTCGAGATTTCCAGGACCGATATTACTCGCCTTCCTCGAAAGCCTATTGGCCACTTTCCACGGCGCGACCGGTGGATTTGCTCGCGCGACCTACCTAGGGAACCGCGTCGTCAACCGCGTTTTTCCTTATAACGACAGAGATTACTCGCGAATTCCAAATTGAATAACTGACAGCGTTAAACTATTGACCACTTCTTCCAATTGATCGAGACAATGCGAGACAAACAGACTCTTCCCATGAAGTATTGAGAGCAATTTTTCTTTAAGAATTATGTTGTATTATTTTTATTATTAAAGATCAGAATTAAATATGTTGTTATTGTAAATATTTCATATTATATGAGATAATGAGTCACCTGCTCACGGAGTAAACAACTTCAATGAGTCGATATCTGGTGAATAAAGTGCGCGATGAGAATAAGGAGGTATAATTGCACTCACTTGAAAAGTCCTTTCCGTCGAAGAGGGCGGTGTAAGCGGCGAATGATGAATTTGCCGCGTAATTATAGGGGTCGAGGATGGACTCCTGGAGGACGGTGCTCTCGTTTCCCTGGCCTCCCTCTCGCACACCGAACCCGGCGACCAGATTTCACTTTTCCTGCTGCCGATATTCGACGAGACGTCGCTCGGTTTCGTACTGAGATTTAACGGCACCTCTTCTTCTGAAACGAAAAGACGCCCGTTTATTTTGTCAATTTTGCCGTTTTTCATTTTCGATATTTCGTGGCTTAAATTAAAATATACATGTATGACTAAATCTTTTGTCTAACATCACGTGAGAGATAAGTTTTTGTCTAGAATATTGTAAAATATACCTTAAATTGTGTATATAAAATATATGAAAAATAATTAAATTTACTTGCACGTTTAAAAAACAGAATTAAAAAGTTAATATACGTAGAGATATTTCATCATCAATTTAATTGACATATTTATAACATGGAGGACGCATGAAAAGGAAAACAAAAACCTTCATCACTATCACTGCACCACTATCACTAGAACATTATAAAAATGATAATTTATGATTGATAACATAACGTTATCACTAAAGGCGGGGAAATTTTATAGTTTTTACACGTTGTATGTGTATATATATACATAGATAGCAATTAATTGATCGTAATTAGTATCCATGCAGAGTTGAGCGATAAATGATGTCTCGTGTGACAACGTTGGTCGATCGATAGCACCCACTTACCGATAATTGCTCGTTAACCGGTCTACTTTTTTTAAGAGATCACGTTTTGAACGTTCTAAAAAAGATCTATCTCGAGAAACTGGCTAAAGAGCAACTTTGCTAAGCTTATCCTTTTAAACCGTGATTGCTATCAAGTGAAAATACTCAATTACTTTACTAAAATTCGTGTTTTTTCTGCACTTATTCAACTTTCATGCATGTAACATCAATCCAATTATAATGCTTATAAACATGTATTAGCGTGTTCAATTTAGCAATAAAGCGTTTTTTTTTTTATAATATTCAAAATAGCATTTATGATCGATGATATCGAAACAAATATCAACTGTACACTCACGGTAAAGTAATACTTAGAGTATCACTTAAAAATAAACTTCCAAAAATATTATGCTCCCTGTCGCCGTGTGGTGTATGTGTCTGGTGCCTTTGAAATAACAATGTCATTTTTTTGGCAAGAGTTTCTTCTCTACCTTTTTTAATCGTGACGTGTTAAACATTTGTAGATTGATTTAAAAAAGATTCGATCAAATCTCACCGAACTTGGCCTTCTCTGGCGTGCATCTTCGCGGCGATCCGGGACGTGCCGGACTGAGAGGTTCCGAATGAATGGGCGAGCAATTCGTAACCGGTGTCGTCTGTTGGGATGGGATTCTCGTAGGCGGGAGCAAAGAATGTGGCAGCAGCAGGCCCATGTGACGGGCCCACCAGGCACCCCCAGATGCCCCATAGCCACTGTACATGAGACCGCAACGCATGTCTGAGACAACAAAGGTAACCGTGCTGTCTTCAAAAGAGTGGAATTTCGAAGTGTGATAATCTTCAGGTAACGTCAAATTGACAAAATACCTCGAGATTACATCGCTGTAGTTTAAGTGAGATATATTAAAATAGCTATTTCAAAATGTCCACATATCGGATATCGGTGTAAAAAGATAATTAACATATAAAAAGCGATTAATAAAACATATGTATATATATATATCCAAGAATAATTAAGAGAAAAGCCTCTTATTCTCGTAATTCATCTAATCTCTCGCGACTTACCTCGCGCAATACTAGCGCTGAGTGGTAGACTTTGCAGTCTCAGATCGGGATTGTAATTCGAAACGAGGGTGAAGGCGCTGAAGCGATCGGGGACGGGTTGACAAAGGCCCGAGGGTGCATTGGTGGAGGCGATGGTGTTCGAACTGCTCCCCGGTACACCTGGGCTCCAAGGCGAAGATGGCAGCGTGATTATGCTGGGGCTGCCGGGTGGCGAGAGGGTAGCCGGGGGTGACAGAGCGCCCGCCGGAACTCCCACGGGATTGCAATGAAGTTCCGGTTTCATGTGCCAAGTTCGAGGTACCGCTTCTATTACGAGAGCAAGTGCTTGGCTTATTATTTCTATATGTGAATGTAAATTAGAATTTCGAAGTGGTAATTGCGTGAATAATCATTAAGTGAGCTATGCAATGAA